CATTTCCTCCTTCATGGCTTGGATCCATTGCTTTGAATCTATGCACTTTACTGCTTCCTCATAGGTTCTTGGTTCTTCGAGATTCACCTCATCTGCCATGGTCAATGCAAATGCTACTGCGTTTGCCTGCGAGTACCTTACTGGTTTGACAATGGCCCTTCTTCCCCTGTCTCTAGCTAGCTGATAATCTGACAGATTACTTGTTTCATCTGCTTCATCCGAGTCATGGTCTGATTCCCAGTTTTCTGTCATATTGTCCTCTTCCTCTGGTGTTTCGGAGTCCCGTTCTGTTTCTCCACCTTGAACAGATTCAGAAGCTCCACCTCCAGCTGAGATTCTTTGTGAGTTGTGGTCAGTTCTCCTTGTCTCCTCCCTCACAATGGGAATTATGATCTCTTGCCTTTCAGGCTCTGTGCTTGTAACCAACTGTCTCTCTTGAAACAAATCCTTAAACACTTTTATTTTCCTAAAACACAACATCTTTACTGATGATACATTTTTTCTCTTCTATTAGCCATAGTCTGTAACCTTTGATACCTTCAGGGTATCCCAAGAAAATTCCTTTTCTTGCCCTTGGATTCAGTTTACCCTTTTCTGTATGAACAAATGCCCAAGATCCAAATCTCCTCAGGTAGCTGTATATTGGTCTCTTATTAGACCATTTTTCTTCTGGAATTTTGAACTCAATGGCTGAGGATGGTGATCTATTGATCAGAAATACTGCTGTGGAGACTGCCTCGGCCCAGAATTCTTGTCCCAATCCTGACTCATTCAACATACATCTTACTTTTTCCATGATGGTTCTATTCATCCTCTCAACCACTCCATTTTGTTGTGGAGTATATGCACAAGTTCTGTGTCTGCGTATCCCTGATTTGCTGCAGAATTCATCAAACGTTTTATTGCAGAACTCCAATCCATTATCTGTCCTTAAGCATTTTACTCTTCTGTTTGTCTGATTCTCCACCAAGGTCTTCCAGCCAACAAACTTGGTATATGCTTCATTCTTGGTTTTTAGGAACAAAACCCATACTTTTCTGGAGTAGTCGTCAATAATGGACATGAAATACTGAGCCCTTGACAGGGATGGATGGATAGATGATGATCCCCATATGTCTGCATGAACATACTCCAAAATGCCTTTTGTTGTATGCTTCCCTGTTTTAAAACTCAATTTGTGATATTTTCCCATGATACAGTCTTCACAGAAACTTATAGAGCTGATCTTTTTCCTGTCCAAAAAACCCTTCTTTACTAGGATTTCAAGTCCTCTTATGCTCATATGACCTAGTCATCTGTGCCAGAGTTCTGTATCATCCTTTTGTCCCGTGATTTGTTGAGCTTCACCTTCGACTGTTGTTCCTTGCAGAACATACTACCCATTCTGAAGTTGACCCTTCATCACCACAATGGAACCTTTGCAAACCCTCAGCGATCCATCCTGTGATTTGTATGTAAAACCTTGCTTGTCTAAAGAACCTAAAGATACCAAATTCCTCTTTAGATCTGGAATGTATCTTACTTCCTTTAACAACTTTATAGTCCCATCATGTACTTTTATTCTTACTGAGCCAATGCCTTCTACCTCACAAGTCATATTGTTCCCCATTAGAACCTTTCCTGCACTGAACCTCTGTAGCTCACAGAACCATTCTAGTCTTGGGGTCATGTGGTATGTACATCCCGAGTCTAATATCCACTGTTCCTTTGGATCCTGATTCGAGATGGTGAGAACTTCTGTTTCAATTTCAGCTACAGCAGCAGTTTCATCTTTTTGTTTTCCTTGTTCCTTTTGATGAAACTTCTTTCTCGCATTACAGTCCCGCTTGAAATGCCCTTCCTTCCCACAATACCAACATCCCGAACCTGACTTGCTTCTAGATTTTGATCTTGATTTCTTTCTTTTACCTTGGTTGTCACTCCCGCGTTGTTCTGTTCTACCTCTGACTAGTAACCCTTCTGCATTGGTTTTACCTGTCTTTGCTGCAAACTCTAATTCCTTTGAGTAAGCGGCACGTGTTATTTCGTCAAAGGTCACATATTCCCTTCTGCTGTACTTGAGCGTATCTTTTAATTGCTCATACTGATCTGGTAATGAGTTAAGGAGAATAAGTACCTGATCTTCCTCAGAGACTTCAATTTTCAGATTTGCCAAATCATTTACAAGCTTTTTGAACACATCCACATTGTCTTCAATTGTCTTTCCTGAATCCATCTTGAACCCAATAAGACGTTGCTTCAGATACATCTTGTTGGGTAGAGACTTATGGAGAAACTCATCCTCGAGAGCCTTCCATATACCAGCTGCTGTATGCTCGTGTCTCACTTTCCTCATAATTGGATCTGACAAACATAGTAGGATCAGATTTCTTACCCTTCGACTCCTTTCATACCTTGATTCTTGGCCAGAACTAAGCAATCTTTTGGCAACCCCTGGTGTTTTCGCCTCTTCTTCTTTCACTTCTCCTTCAGTTTCAGATTCTGGTGTGGTTACGTCATATTCTTGACTTAGAACATCATGTAACCTCAGAATCTCAAGACTTGCGATTACTGTCTTTCCATAACGAGAAATCACATTTCCCGTCATACTTTTCAACATCCAATTTCACAACCGTAGCCATATTTCTTCAGGACCCTTTCTCTGAATTTTCTTCAGATTTCTTTTCTAGTTCAGTACCTTGTTCTTGATTCTGACTCAGGTTCCGATTGATCTTTGGATCTTCGACTCTTTCTTGCCCTACAGATGCAGTATCTTCTCTGGATCGAGACCGGGCTCTGATACCACTTGTCACCGCAGAACTGTGTGCGCCGATTCCGAAATTGTCTCTCTCTCTCAAACTCTCACACGAAATGCAACAATCGTAAAGAACACAACGAATTACGTGTTCGGACCGACCGAATGGACGCGATCCTACTCACGCCCAAGAGCTTATGCTCTTGAGAGATTTTTTCACTAGAAGCTCGAGATTACAAGAACAGATTCTCAGTCTTGGAGAAATCCATAAAACGAAGAAGAAAAACAGAATGAACACGATACAATGATTAAAACCTGCTCAATTCCTTTTAAATCAGATTAGAACCGGTTTACACCGGTTTACCCTCTGAATCCGGTTGAGGCAGACCAATTAAAACACGTCCCTGTAAATTTACAGGAATGTCATTACTAAGACTCTGATTTACTTGGAGTCTTTAGCCTACTGTATCTTCAGATGAAACCTTCTGAGTCATCCAGCGGCTTGCCCTGTATCCAGCACCTGAGACTGAAATCAGTCTACAGTTTGCCTGTTTTCATATTTTGTAAAGTAGGTCAGAACTCAATTTGTATATATGCGAGCTTTGTCTCTGTGAAAGGAGAAGCCGTTTTTCCGAAACCTTTCTCGTAGCTGTGACAGAACTAAATTCCCGAACCAAATTGACGACACCGAACAAATACGGTTTCGTGACACAAAACAACATAAAGTATCATGTGAAATTTAATATTCACAAATACCACTAATAAATAGACAAAATGAAAGATGAATACTTTTACCGCCTTAGAAGAAACCACGTCCTGAATTGTTTTGTATTTTCGAATCAACGTTGAAAATTGGACTTCCGCAATCACGAGAGAAGGGATCGGTATAAACCGGTTTAGGATTACAATTTTAAATTTCATCTGCAGGTTAAAGCTACTTCCCATCAAATATGCATAAAACCATACCACAGTTCGTCGACATATATAAATATAAACAAGGCAAGATTTTTTTTTTTTTTGTATGTTTGTTGTTTGTTTGTGAACTTATTTTTGGAATTCTAATTTACATCCACGATAGAAATACAAAAAAATAAAAAACCTCTGATCTCGAATTCTTTCTTTCAATTGTTGATATATTGTTTCTCAATTTCAAGACCCTAAATGCCAAGAAAATATATGGTCATTCCGCCTCCTTTTTTTTTTTTTTGCATACTCCACCTATTAATCTCGATTATATAACCCCAATCTAGGGTTCTAACATGCTGCAGATTTTCAAAGAAAAACCAATTATCATAGTTTGATAGAGATCAATATTCAAAACTCTAAACGTCAAGAACAAGCTTGGTTTTGTTTGGGGTCAATGTTTCAGAAAACGGTTCGGGTTTGAGTAGTGATGTCAAAATGAGTCAGGCTCGCGAGCTGGCTCGCGGTTGGCTCGTTTTTTATCGAGCTGGGCTGAAAAAATAAAAGACCAAATAAAAACGGGCCGAACGAGCCAGCTCGCGATGAGTCCGAGCCCATCCGGGCTAGCTCGGTCGGTTCGCGAGCCGAATATGTTGATGTTGGTGTATATTTTTTGTTATATTTTGATGTTGTTGGTGTATGAAACTTTTTATATTGATGTTGATGTATATTTTTTGTTATATTTTTATATTTTGATGTTGTTGGTGTATTACACTTTTTTATGTTTGTTTGGTTTTGTTAATTTTTCTTGATTTAGATATAGTTTTATGGATTGTTATGTTAAATATTTTATGTTATATTGCATGACTTCAAAATATTGTTACGTAGACTTTAAATGATTAATTTTCATGTAATTTTTAAAAAAAATCGAATAATTAGATAAAAACGGGTTGGCTCGCGAGCCGGCTCGGAGCTCGGACAATTTGGTCTGGGTCAGAGTTTTTCTAGCTCGTAAAAAAACGGGTCGAACGGGCTGAGCAAAAAATGAGCTGGCTCGAGACGAGCCGGTTCGGGCCGGTCCGAGTCAGCCCGTTTTACATCACTAGGTTTGAGACGGAAATATATCGGTTTACTTTTTTCAGTTTTACAAAAATAGATATCAATCGGTTTTTATATTATATTCGGTTTGATTCAGTTTAGTTACCGGTTCGGTTCAGTTCTGGTTTTTATTAAAAAAAATATAGATTTTTTAAAAAAAAATTGGTTTTTTGGGATTTTTCAAAATTCGATTCGGTTCGGTTACAGAAAATTCTCGGTTCTCCACATATAATACCATTCTCTAAAAATAAAACTTCCATGATTGATGGGTCCGTGTTCTGCAGCAAGCGCAATTTCTAGAATTTCTCCTTTAATTCGTCTCGTTAACCCCTATTCTACCCAGTTTTCCCCCATCACCTGCTTCTTCAACAGAACCCAGAAGCCAAAGGTTTTGTTTTTTCAGCGGAGATACTGTAACCCATTCGTCGGAAACCGTTTAATCGATTGAGTTTCTTCGTTTTATGAACTGGGTCTATTCGATTTTGCAGAAATTTCATCAGTTTCGGGTGTTCTCGATGGCGTCGGAGTCGAAGGAATCGCCGGCGAACAATCCCGGTCTCTCTGTGACTCGTGACGAGGCTACAAAAGGATATATCATGCAGCAGACTGTAATATTTCTCGCTTTGAATCGAGATTCTTTTGGCGTGTGCGCGTATTTAAGCGTGTGTATGTGTGTGCGTGTATGTACAAGATATTTCAGGGAGATTATTGTTTGGAAATCATCATTCCTTGTTGAGCTCGAAAAGGGCATCTCGTATGTCCTTATGCAGGCATTTGTGTGTCAAGTGAGTGTCTATGTCCGTTTGGAAAAAATCTAAAATGTTATTTGAACTCAAGAGTGAGTCATGTGATATGTATGTTGGAATGTCTGCGTCTGTGCCTAGCTAGGGTTCTTACATGTCTGATAGAGATATTGAAACCAACATTGCTAAGTTGAATTCAAATTGAGCGGTTGGATGTTCGCCTTCAATTTTTACATTTTCTGTAATAATGTCGACCCAACCCGATGCTCTGTTTGTTAGTATTGGATAAGTTCTCTTCGAGTTTAAATGAAGTTCTCGATCTCAACATGTTATATTCATGTTGATAATCTGTGGAAAAACCTATTGTTTCCATCAAGTCGTTTTGGTTCGGATAGCAGTCAGACCACTGGAAATAACATGGGTTGATGCAGAAGAAAATTGAATTAAGTCCTACGTCTTGACCTTACACTGGTTTCCTTATTCGGTTTGTTGTTGAAATTCGTTCTTGTTTTCTTTCTATCGAGACAGCTGACTGAGCTTCATTTTCTTGTCTGTCTTAACTTCTAGATGTTTCGGATCAAGGACCCCGAAGTTAGTCTTGACTTTTACTCGCGCATACTGGGAATGTCGTAAGTTCTCTCTCACTTCTTTTCTGGGGGTGGGGGGTTGAAATCCAACCCAACACTTGAATAGTTTTCACTTTAAGTTTCAAATCATAAAACTCGGTTTTGCTTTTCTGATAATTAGTAATTTTAGTTATTGTAAAAATAAATCCCTCTAGGTCAGCCATTGTTATGTTTTGCTTTATTATTTTCAGATTACTGAAGAGGCTGGACTTCCCCGAGATGAAGTTTAGCTTGTACTTCATGGGGTATGAGGTAAAACCGGGTTACCTAATCCTCTCCATTTCATCATTTGACTATTTATTAGGAAAGAAAACTTCATTTTGGGGTTTGGACCCTAATATCATGATTCAAGCATTCAACTTTTGATCTTGTTTCCAACAAATTCTCGCGATCTTGGAGATTTTGCATGGAATTTTTGTCATATAGATGATTCGGTTGAAAGTAAAGAACAAAAACATTTGATGCTGGTACAGGATACTTCATATGCTCCAACTGATCCAGTTGAGAAAACAGTCTGGACATTCGGTAGACCCGCTACTATTGAACTTACGCAGTAAGAACAAGAAACTACTGTCTATTATGCTTTTCGTTTTTTGCCCATCAAACCTGCCTTCAATATGAATCTTTCTTTCAGCAATTGGGGTACCGAGAGTGATCCAGAGTTTAAAGGGTATCACAATGGGAACAGCGAGCCTCGTGGTTTTGGTAATAACTCTTTTCTTTACATATTCACGATTAATTGGGTAATTTTTATATGTTAACTATTATATACTGGTTCCATGGAATCCAATCTTGATTTGGAAGGATCGAAGATTTTTAGAATAGTATAAGCGTAATGGGGTAAAGATCAAAAGATACTATGATCTATATATTCACGGAAACAAGTCCCGAGTTCTTACAATCTCCGACGTATTATCTCAACGCAAGGACTGACTTTTCTCTTGCAGGGCACATCGGGGTTACGGTTGATGATGTTCACAAGGCGTGCGAAAGATTCGAAAAACTTGGAGTGGAGTTTGTGAAGAGACCGAACGACGGTGTTATCACCAAATCGACTCAATCTAATCGAAAAGTTTGAATCATTTCATATCGCAGACGAAATTCTCAACTCCCCCCCCCCCTTTTTCCTGAAATGTTGCAGGAAAAATGAAGGACATAGCGTTCATCAAGGACCCCGATGGCTACTGGATAGAAATCTTCGATCTCAACACTATCGGGAAAACGGCGTGAATGCAGCTTGAGAAGGGTAACACCCGAGTCATCCATGAAAAGTCTCGATCCATTTCCCCGTGTCCGACTGTTACCAAACCACTGAAGGTTTACAAGCGGTTCACTCATGGATTGAAAAGATCTCTAAAGATGATAGCTAAGAAGTGAGCTGGCAAGAAGTTTATTTTTATTTCGTATGTTCTGTATTTTTATTCCAGCTTTGTAGTTTGTTTCTCGGTAGTGTGAAAACACTTGGGTAGTTTTATTTCCTTGTTATTAGGAGAAGTTATTTCCCTTACGTTTGTGTACTTTTAAATGCTAAGAAGGAAATGGAAGGAGACATCTTGAAAATCCAATTCAGTCTTTGAGCACTTAGTCTCAAGAGGTTATTAGGTTCCCTCTCGTGAGCCTAAATTACAGCAATCATAGATCGTAAGAAGAAAAATCCTAGCCAAATCATCCAAACACCCATCGAATTCCTACCGCCCCGACCCATAACGAGATCCATAACCCGGGACCGTAACACCGACCAGTGTTTTATGCTCTTTCTTCAACGTGAGTCTGTCGTGATGAATAAAGAAACATGGAATGTGATGTTATCTTGTGCTAAATCTAAGGATATCTCTTATACCAAAAAAAAAAAAATCTAAGGATATCTCTCATTTTTCAGAAACTGATGTTAGATTCAACAAGGATATTAATCAGCAAGAATCCGTTGGATAACATTACATCATAAAATCTCCTTATATAATTGATTTGTTTCCTTGAGTAGGTGTCGCCTTATCTGCTTGCTTGATTTCTTTGATTCTCCTTGTGTGTATATATACAAGCAAAGCCTTTGCATCAACAACATAGTCAGTAACAATGGCGTCTCTTTCGTTATGTGTTTTAGCTGCAATGCTTCTTGTCTTTTTCTCGGTCGCTGCTTCTGCCCCTCAAGGCGGAATCACAGCCGAATTGATCCGCCATGATCCCCCGCGCTCTCGTCCTACTCGGTCTCCGTATTCCGACACAGTATCCAACCACTTGGGCGGGTATCTGATGAAAATAAAGATCGGGACACCGCCATTGGAGTTCATGGGACTTGCAGACACGGGGAGCGATCTTACCTGGACGCAATGTTTGCCTTGTCCTAATAACTGTATCCCACAAGATTCTCCAATGTTTAACCCTCTCTCTTCCTCCACCTACCAAGACCTTACTTGCAGCGCAAGTCAGTGCAGAACCATTAACAGAGACACCCACTGTGACGGCAAGAATAGTGTCTGCCCTTATAGGCTGGTTTATGGCAAAGGCTTCTCTTTTGGGTCAGTTGGGTTCGACACGGTCACCCTCGGTCTGACCTCTGGCTCGCAGTTTTCTCTAATCGGAACCCTCTTCGGCTGCGGTCGAAACAACTCCGGTTTTAGCCATGGCGTGACAGGCGTCATCGGACTCGGCTGGGGACCGTTTTCCCTCGTCTCTCAGATGGGAGATAGAATCCAAGGTCTCTTCTCCTACTGTTTCGGCGCCAAGACAAGCAAGATCAACTTCGGAGCAAACGCTATTGTTTCGGGTGGCGGTACTGTGTCCACATTGCTTTTGCGAAAGATGTCTAATCCGAGCTTCTACTACCTCAACCTAGAGGCAGTGAGCGTGGACGATGCACGGGTCGAGACCTCGGGAACCTCGATGGGTTCAAAGGACGGGAATATCGTCATAGACTCGGGAACGACAAATCTGATGCTGGCGGAGGACTATTTCTTGCGTGTCAAGGAAGTCGTGACAACTGCGATGAAAGCGAAAGGAGCCAATCCCCAGGACAATTGTTACTCGCCGTGCAATCTCGAGGATTTTCCGGTAATAACGATGCATTTCGCTGGTGCGGATCTCGTTATGGAACGATCAAACACGTACGATGACGTAGGTCATGGGGTGGTTTGCTTAAAGTTCGTCCCGATCCTAAAGGGGCTTCCTCCCCTACTCGGCTACCAAGCTCAGTCTAATTTCTTGATTGGTTATGACATCGTCTCAGAGATTATCTCCTTTAAACCCACCAACTGCTCTTCTCTCTGGCATTGATTTAATCAATAGTTGTTTGAGGATTGTTAGCTTAATTATGCCTTTTGTTCCATCCAGAAATAATCAGAGATTATAATATAAAACAGTCTAAAATGTCTGAACAAAGACGTCAAGGCTCTTCGGAAGCTCCACGAACTCGGGAACTCCCATTTTTCTCGAACAATCAGAACCAGAAAACCTTCTAGAAGAAGGTACAGATAAGTACTGTTCACCAGTGGAGGAGAAACAAACAAAACGGCTGTACTTGAGATGAGTACCAAGATTCGGTTTCTTTCAACGTGTCGGAAGTTCAAGAACCAATCCATGACCGAACCCGATATCTTCTCTCGTTCGAAATGCAACATAACATCACAAGAACATTACCATGAGACACGTCAACATAACACAAGACAGCATGTGATGTTCTTGATCTTGTGTGATCTTGAGTGCAACTCTGAGGCTACATTTACAAAAGAGTGACTCTTGGAAGTCATTTCTTGACCTACGAACAAAACCCGAAAAAAGTGGACTGGAGTTGGAATCTAGAAGAGGCTTACATAAAAAAAAAAGAGAGAGATTACATGCAAATCGTACCTGTAAATCTATCTTTACGTCTCGGAGAAGCTGTGCTGCTATTGTACCGTACCTTCTCGTCTCCCAATCACTAAGCTTTCCCTCTCGTAATTTCATTAATATGCTATCTTCCTTGAGCCGAACAACAGCTCTGGCCTCTCCCTCGTTTTCCATATCATTGCTTCCGGCATTATCAACTTTCTCTTCTTTTGTTTCGCTTGTATCAACCTCTTCATGGCTACATGCTAAACCCACGGTTCCCGAGCAACCAGCAGATGATTTTTGCCCCATGATGTAAAGGTGAATGCTCGGGTCTTGGTATTTACCATCCATCTATACGTTTATATCCATCACGCATGTTGCAAATTTTGATCAGAAATATTGCTTCCTGCAGTGTCACAGATTAGAACCAAGCTGTGTATAATGTTTTACCTTGGATCTCGGTATGATTTTGACTTCGAAATTGTCTTTCCATATCTGAAGCATTTTCTCATGAATACTGGTCGAACGTATCTCATATCCCAACTAAAACAGAGCAAACAATGTTGAGCCATCTTGTTATTACAGCATAATTAATGAACTCCAAGGAAATTACCATACCATAACCGTTGTCTTTGGCCCTGACAGCCCAATTATCGTACGCAGAAGAGGTTCCAAGAGCTGTTCGGCATATACCTTCAAATTAAATACAGCAGTGTCACTGACTCCCTTGAGGAAACTATTACATCATAATGAATGGCTGGAATATAAAAGGCTTTTTGCTAAAGAGATGGATCTAAGCTTCTACGACAAAGACGATAGAATACAGAAAAAATAGTCAATAAATCCAATTTACTTACAACATCGGTACCAATGATGTAGTCAAACGGTGGCTCAACTGCCTTTATATGAACCTCGTTCCCCCAGTCCAACTCTGCAACCTCGAGTGACCCAAAAGATTCTACAAAGAAAGAAAAAACTTCCTCGTAATATGCACAAAAGAAAGAGGATCTGCCATTTTATTGCTTGTTAATATATCGAATCAAGTCATGGTAGGTCTAGATGTAACAGGATCAAGCAGAGCTAAGAACCAGAGAAAACAATGATTATTTCAAGTAGACAGTGTAAGTCAGTACGAACCTGAAGTGGAATTCGTCTGCACGATTCTGGAGGTATTCCATTCAACATTCCTCTTCAACAACGGCAAAACCTCCCGTTGATCAGTTGAAATCACATCGCATCCCAGCATTGCCATAGCTGATGAACACATTTAGGATTGAAGACTAAACAAACAATAAAGACTCCCATTTCAAGCAGAGAGAAAACCATATGAAGAGAGGAAAATCCACAAGGCAGCTGATACGTATGTATACATGTATACACGTACCAAATCCCGCAACACCACAGCCCGCTCCAAGCTCGATAACACGTTTCCCTTTCAGTTTGGAAGGATTGAATCTTCCCTTCCTGCAATTTTTCTCCTGGAAAATATTGACAGTGCCAAGAATTCAGAACGATCAACGGGAAACAAAATCTGATGAGAAGACCTAACTGTGACGACATCAAAGAGATCCACATTAAACACATGAAGAAGTCAAATACCGAAGATAATCCTAGCAGCCAAAAAATCTGGAAGGCGTCAGGAGAGAGATATGAAGGATTCAAAGGGGAGAGAGGTATGATACCAGATATTTGGCAAACACCATGGATGCATCCCACACAGTGGTTCCTAAATGCTTCGAATTTGGATCCTACCATGGCAAACTCATACCATCATGATACAGCAATACAAGAAGTACAAAGAACTTGAAGCTATGAACAATAACCAAAAGCCACGTACAACGGCATCAAACTGGTAAGAAAAAATGCAAGCTTAAATGGAGGAATTCAAGGAACCAAAAAAAACGTATACCTGAGCAAAATGCAGTTCATGCCCCATAACCTCAAGGGTAATAGTGCAGGTGCTTGGAGAATTCAACCTGACAAGTGAAGTTGTAAATTTTGTTCGACTTATCACATATATGATGCAGGTAGTCAAGCAAACGTATGATAAGAACATTCAGCAGACTCCATGGATTAACCAGAAAAGGACTTGGAATTCTTTCCGAGAGCTAAATCTGGTATGAGAACAATGCAAACTTGTTCCAAACGACGGAAAATCTCAGTTATTTTCTTTAATTTCGAAGATACATGACATAAAAACGATGAATGGGAAGAACCACATAAACTATGGTCGATTCTCTGTATAAGAGAAAACGTAATTTTCCTTCAAAAGGATCCAACTTAACAAAAACCCAGAAGATAATTTCTAGTACCAACGGAGATAATGCTTTTAGCTAACATGGTAATCCCAAAGAAAAGACCAATTTGAATCGGTTTCATCTCCCAATAAGCTTTAAACGTTATGAAACTGATAAACTCATGGAGCGGAATGAGAAGAAATTGCAGTATCATGAAAATTAAGCAAACATTAGGTAACATGAAGCAGAAATCAACTGAAAATACCTGTCGGGATCCATTGTGATCGTCCTCTGATTTCTTTTGTTGCTCTCAGGGTTTTCGGCTTCTGGGTTTTCTCTTCACTCGAGTAACTTCCGACTTCTCGGCGCAAGCATATTGACAAACTGCCAGGACCCTCTATCTAAGTTAGAGGTTTTCTTAGTTTGGGTCTTAGGCCCATCTAAACGTTCTGGAACTCTCGAGACAAGAAAAAAAGGAGGAAACTTTGGAAACCCCCGAGAAAAGCCCTAGGAAATCGAGACGACAACGGTAATTTGCTCGTTGCTCGCCATCGATCATGGAGATTATTGTTATCGGGTGTGTTCTCGGTGTGAGAGGGTATTTTCCGGCGACGATGTTAATGGTGGTGGTGGTGATCCGTATCCTCCTTCGTTGTTCTGCACATTCTGCAAGTCCAAAGAATCCAAACTGCTCTATCGGCTCCTTGTATGAAAATCTTGCATTCTACTCTAATGGCTTGTCGTTGTATGGGAAAAGGGAATCCTCGAGGAAACCTTTCTTTTTTCCCTCTGAAAGTGAAGATCTTGCTGAGTTCCTCTTGTTGTGAGGCTTGTGAGCCCCTGATTGTGTTCGTTTCCAGTTAAAGTTCGCAGCTTTTGGCTGTGAAAATTGAATTGGAAAATGGGCTTCGTTTAGTTTGGTGTGCTAAGACTCTGATTTTATGATTCCGTCTGCGATGAGTGTGATGAGACTGTTTCTCAGGAGAAAAAAAAAAAACAGAGGAATACTCATCTTAGCAGTGAAAGTGGGAATTCCAACTAGCTTTATGTGATTCAGAGGATTTGTAGTTTCTTTCTGTTGCTGATAAACGAAAACAAGGATTCATTTTCGTCCTTACTGAGAAATTCCTGTTATTGTTTCTAGATGATGAGAGCATTCTCTTTTCTTCGTGGATACCGCAGATGTCTATAGCAACCGATGCCGAGGTGAAATCCGTGATCTGTTTCGATAGAGCTGCGACGACCCTCTTTGGTTGCTCAGCTGATGAATTCGTCACCTTCGCAAAGCCCAATCCTTCTGCAGGTAAATCCAAAGTTCTTTCCTTTCACCAAAATCAACTCCATAAGATACATATAAAACGGTCTGAGATGATTTGGCATGGGTTCATGTGTTACTTTGTAGCTTCAATGGCTAATCAGGTTCTGGAGGGAGAAATGCTGAGGATGACATTAACTCGGCCACACAACCGAAACGCCCAACACACGAGAGTAGCCTCGGTTGCTCCTCTGCGATCGGGGTTTAAGCCTGTAATAGTGACCCTCAGAGAAATCTTCCAAAGGAATTCTTCTCCATGCAATCATTCATAAGCTTGCCTGTTTATACACGCATGCATGTAAAATCTTGCCCAATCCCAATGTTGTTTGATTTAGATTCACGTTAGTACGTTGCCACATGGCATTGGCGTGACATATGATCATCGGGAACTTCGAAATTTGATGTATTTATCTTATACCTGAAAAATTCATATATTATTACGAGAAATTAGTAAAATCAGTATATTTATTTAGAAATTTCTGGGTTTTTTTTATATCCAAAAAATACAAGAGCTTCGTTGCGAAGGAAACGCATTCAAGACAAGTCACCTCACCACTGCCTTTCTTCCGCCAAAAACGTCGAACGCGAAAAAAGTGTCCTTTTTTAAAAAGAAATTCAAAAGGAAGCAGTACAGTACAGAAGAACACTGTCGTCTATAAAGTTGAAGAACCCAGTTCTGATGGAATGGAATCTGTGTGAGAGAGATCAATTCGGGAATTCCTACTACGAAATCGAAACGATGAGCGGTTCCCGGCCTGATATCACTCTTCCCGACAAGGCAGAGGCCTTGTTAGGGCAAATCTACTTCAAACACAAGCTTCCTCCGATCAATCCGGACACGAGGCTGAGGCTCTCGTCGATTCCTGAGGAATTAGCTCTTGAGACACTCAGGAAAGTGTATAATTCTAAGGTCAAGTATACCCTCGATGGGTACATCAATTTTCTGCTTTCCAATTCCACCGGCTTCGGATCGCCGCTGCCGAGCCCCGGCGGTTCTCCGGCGAAGACTCCGAACTCATCCGGCAAAATTGGTTGCAGGGCTTTTCAAGGTTAGTTTGGTTTCCCCAAGTTTAGACTCTGGCATCACTCTTGGGCTGCCCATTTGTTAGGAGTTCTCGAGTAATTTTAGGCATTTTAAGTGATATAATCGCGAAATAGTTTGATGCTATCACGTAAAAGATATCATTTTGCGCAATTGTTTTGCGCGGAATTGCCGTTTTTGGTAAAATCTTTAGCAGAAATAGCACATGATTCTGAAACCCGGCATCTGAAGAACTCGAGGAGAGAAGATGATGGAGCGTCTCTGTTCAGTTCCCAGCAGTTGGCTTTGGGTGAACTCGAATTTAAGAAGGCCTTTCTCATGCTGAACTATATTGCAGAGTACGTTTCAGTGTCATCTACTTCGGTCTTATTTCTTTGAAACGTGATTTCATATGGTTGAGAATCATCTTCTCGGTGTATGCAGTAAACGTCTGGAGGAGGTTATAACTGCTGATGAAATCAGGAGGATGAAGGACTTGCCAATGGTTGAATATGAGTCAGGAATTTGGAACCGGTTGGGCCTACATTTCTGTCGCAGAGAGGACCGTAGAATGGTGTGGCAGTTCGGTTTTGCTTGTTGTTTATCACTTTAATTTTCTAAGTGATGATAAGAAATGAAAAGTTAATGCTGGATTCTCGAAATTCTTTTATACTTCTATACTCCATAGAAATGATTTGGATATTTGTCAGTGTAGTGGAATTCCGACATTTGACTTGCAAGATTCAATCTTTTATCAGTTCTTATATCAATAATTGCACCAACTGATTCATCTCATGCTTCCCTGCCTCATTTGTTGCAGTTGCTTGAATGGGATTGTGGGAAGCCTCACTACTATCAGTGCTATGTTGCTTCAGATGGTACTTGTAGATTCAAGGTTCGTTACGCTAATGGCATACTTTGTATTTCTCGTGTTTGCTTGTGTCAATCTCCATGTGAAGCAAAAGTTAATCAATTTACCTAGGGTTCCGTATCCCTTGTTTGTATAGGTTCCTATGCTCACACACACATGTATATGGTAGAAAGTTATGGATGTTTGTATATGATAATACAAAAGCTTTGAAGGAATGTGTTTGATGGAATTCAGCAGAATAATATTAGTATTGTGTATACACATGCATTTTTAAAGGTTTGGACTAGAGGTATGCTCTGTGGAAGCCATTAGAGCGATTTACTTGCAAGTCGATCTAAGCATGTAGATGTTATCTTTTTCACTTCTGACCTTCCATCTGAAGTGTTTCCATATGCTGACAGTTTTCTAGTTCCAATTGTTTATCACTTGCTTAATCTTGCTTACTGCGGTTTGCTCCTCGTAACTAGGTTCAGTAGGTGCCTTAGTAGGGTGTTAATAAATCCTAGTTGTAGGATAACATCCTCCAATAACGACTTATTATGCTGGTAGCGTGGTACCGACCACTGCCTCTTTTGCGCTTTCCCATCTTTAGGGTCCTTTTCTAGAGAACACTACAACACACTTGCACAAGGTTTTGGGTGATGAGAATGTTCTAATGGTGAAATTTGAGGACGTTGCATGCCGGAGAGATTTGCCGATAAACAGTAGTGACTCTTATTCTACATACAAACACATTGCGACCAATGGAATAATGATCGGTTTACGCCGCTATCAATTTTTTGGTGAGCCTTTTATCTTGTTATCTTCTCAATGAACTTTAATTTGTCCAGTTTCGGGGATGGCTCTTTTTTGTTGATGGGCATCTATTGCTATGTTTAGTGATGTGCTTAGGAAAAAATGGCTGCATTTTTAGTTTGTGTTTCCCAGCTCGGTTCCTAACATTTCTAACTTTCTTGTAAACAGTGTTTAAAGATGGGGGCAAAGAAGAGAAGAAGAAAGATCCGTCTACAAAGGGAGTTAAATGTTATTTTGTATGCACAGATTCTAGAGCATTTAATGACCGGGGAAAAGATTATAATTTTTCCAGGAAATCAGTCCATGAGGTTCGAATGCATTTTATGCATGTGCATAATTTGCAAACGTTAGCCAACTATATGGCAAGGTTAATATCTTCAGCCAATTGACATTCTTTCTTCATAATCTGTATTAGAGGAATGTGATGTTTTGCTGTTTTTTCCATCTGTAAAATATTCTGAAAATTCCTGTCCTGACGAATCTTGGATCACTTCCTCTGCTGGTGCTTCAGGTTTTCTTTAATTCTGTCAAAGACAAAGAAGCTTGAAGTTGACCTGACTGACATTAACTTCGACAGAATTGATGACATAAACTGCCATGTATTTCTATATACCGTAGTTCATCAACAATTATCCTTTCTATTTGTCTTTTATGTTAACCATTATTTGTTCACTGATCCTGATCTCCCGCTTCAACCTTTTCTTCTCCAACATCAAATGCAGGATCAAGATGGTAATGTTGTTTTTGATAAGAATGGGAAACCTTTTATACATTCAGATGGAACTGGCTACATCTCTGAAGACCTTGCTCGGAAATGTCCTATGAACATATATAAAGGGCAATGTACCAGAGGCAAACATGTTCAGGTTTTTGTTCCACTTCTACTCGGCTAGATGGTTGTTTAGTTTCTCTCATGCTTGCTTAGCTTCTTCTCTCATGCTTGCTCTTTGTCTTTTCTGCTGCCATGTCACGGTTGTTTTGTTTCGTTGTGAATCAAGGGGAATGTATCAGAATTTGAAGCACAGGAAGGCTGTAGTCAAGAGCCAGTATGCTATAGTTCTCAGACCTTGTTTATGGTTGATTCTCTATTTTCCTAATACTCAAACTCATGTGGTTCTTTTCTTCTTAATAGCCTCTGCTGATTCAGTTCCGGCTGTTTTACAATGGTTGTGCTGTCAAGGGAACATTTCTGATGAACAAAAAAGTAATTACTTTTGCATCCTTTTTTTTCCTTTCACATTGCAACATTCAGGTTTACAAACAGTTCCTAGTTTTGCTTTTCAATCTGGCAGCTTCCTCCTAGGACCATCCAGGTTCGACCTTCTATGATAAAGGTGGACACAGATCCACACCTGTCAAATTTTAGCAGCATTAACTCTCTCGAGGTAGTTAGTACAAGGTATCTGTCTCTTGGAAACTTGTTATCTCAGATACTAAGAAAGCTTCTTGCGTGTTCTTATCTGATAAGGAGTGACAATTATATTAACATCTAGTTGTTTCCATCATCCAGTAACCCACCCAAAAGAACAAAACTATCTCGAAATTTAATTGCACTTCTTAGCTATGGAGAAGTTCCAAATGACTTCTTCTTGGATATTTTGCTCAACACTTTGGAAGAGTCAAAAACCATATTCTATGATACTCGGGCAGCTCTTAAAGGTACTTTCAGCGTACTAATGTTTAATAAAATTCTCCTGCTGTTTAGTCGGTTTTGAAACTTTTTCTGTCAATTTTGCCCTGTAATACTATTTTGCAAACAAAACCTCCAATGTTTTCTGACGTTTTAAAATGTCACAAAAACAAATTGAGCATCTTGATGATTTCTTTCACTAATGGAAATGTTTTTAGTTCAGTTGCCTTAAACTATGCTGACATGGATGATTACAATGCTGTGGATATGATCACGGCTGGTATTCCCCTTGAAGAACCATTCTTGAAGCATCACCTTTCTATACTATTAAAGACAGAGAGGAAAGATCTCAAAGCTGGAAAGCTTCCTGTCGCTGAATCTTACTATCTGATGGGAACGGTTGATCCCACTGGAATGTTGGAGAAAGATGAAGTCTGTGTCATCCTGTATGTTACTGATTCTTTTTATTGCTCCTCACTTGAATGCATAATATTTCGTATTTGCGATATTGAATATTCCTCTCTAGTTCTAGCTGTTATCTTCTAACTACTTTCGGCTTATTGTTTTGTAGTGAGACTGGTCAAATTTCGGGAGATGTGTTAGTTTACAGGAATCCTGGGTTGCATTTCGGAGACATACACATTCTGAAGGCCACATATGTAAAGTCCTTGGAAGACTTTGTCGGAAATTCTAAGTACGGTGTATTTTTCCCTCAGAAAGGTCCAAGATCTTTGGGGGATGAGATTGCAGGCGGTGATTTCGATGGTGATATGTATTTCGTATCCAGAAATCCTGAGGTTGTTGTTGGATCTCTTTATATCTGTCAATAATGGTTTTCATTGATTTGTTATGCTCCACAATATTTTGATCCTTGGCAGATATAAGAAGTTTTGACCCTATAACTCAACTTTGTATTCCCTTTCTTAGTTGCTCAAATATTTCAAGGCAAGCAAACCATGGGTGAGTTTGTCTTCAACAAGTAAAAGCATTTCTGGTAGAAGGCCAAGTGACCTTTCCTCACAAGAGTTGGAAGATGAGCTCTTTAATATGTTCTTGGCGACTAGGTTTCGCTCCTTGTGAGTAGTTGATTCTTAACACAGAAAAGCCCAAAATACCAGAAAGATTTACAATTGCTTCTTGTTCCAATGTAGTGTTCTTTGTGGTTTTATGCTCTCTGATTGTGATGTTGAGTTGTTTCCTGGTGTTTCAGCAATGTCATAGGGATGGCTGCAGATAGCTGGCTTGCGATCATGGATCGCTTGCTCATTCTAGGAGATGACAGAGCTGGTGAAAAAGTCGAAATGAAGAAAACAATGCATCAGTTGATCGATATATACTACGATGCTCTAGATGCACCTAAAAAGGGGGCTAAGGTGAGTTCTTGCACATATTCAATGATTTGCTGAACTTGGACTCCACGCTTGATAATCATAATTGAAAACAGGTTGATCTCCCAAATGAATTGAGGGCCGATATGTTTCCCCATTACATGGAGCGTGACCCAGAGAAATCTTTCAGATCCACCTCTGTTCTTGGATTAATCTATGACTTTGTTAAATCTCACAAGACGGAGGAAATCTCGCCATCTGGTATAAATCCCCTCCTTTTACCCCTAATAATCAGAAAATGCCAGAAATCATGAGAATTTTTAATGGTTGAAGCTTCGTTTTTTGTTTTTCAGAAATCAAGAAACTCCCATGTTTTGAAGCAGAACAGGTGCCTGAGTCTCTCACGGAGAGATTGAAAAATTGGTATGAGAACTACAGAGCTGAGATGAGCCGGGCCTTGGATTTGAAAATCGCGAGTGACAGGAATGGAGCAGCCGATGAAATTATCAGGAGATACAAACAGGTAAATCTAAACTCCATTGCCGTATGCAATCTCTCACTGATCTGCCTCTATACCACAAGGTTAAGTGCCATATCCGTATCTTTCTAATACCGTATGCCAATGTTTCCATTGCGTTGATCATCATCTTTAACGGGTTCTTTTTTTCTCGTAATCCAGGAGTTCTATGGTTCGGCTGGGTTTGAAGACTGGGAGAAACATCGCGAAGAACTCTACCCGCGTGCTATTGCGATCTACAATTTGGTTTATGACCACGCCATCAGAACACAAAGGGTGGCAAATTGTGGGTTCGCTTGGAAAGTTGCAGGTCCGGTACTGTCTCGGTTTTACTCCGAAAGAACTCCCGGAAAGACTGTTTTGTGTTCAGTCGCAGTCCTAAGAGATATATTGGGTAATAGACGGATTTGAGTTGTATATGTTGTTCTCTACTCCGATGTGTCAGCTGGCCAATAAGCTCGAGCTTTCGCGCATCAGAATCATCTTTCGTCGAAATGGTTTAACGTTGTATATGTATTATGAAATGTCGTGTGTGGTGATGTAGCTTTCTATGTATACAATTTTCTTTATGATGAAATTTATTGGTTTTCTTAAATGGATATGGTTTTTGAAGTTTTTAGAATTCAAAAACCAAAAAATTTAACAATCAAATTTTTATAATTTTGGTTTTCTTAAAAACTTGGAAAACTATTTTATAGAAATAATTAATAAAAAAAAATCAAAAATTCTATTTTTTGGATTTACAAAACTACAAAAACCAAAACCCAAAACTAGTGGTGTGGTTTACAGAATAGTTCCTAAATTGTGTATGTGATAGATACTACAGGGTGTATGTTAGAGGCAGGAGAGGGCAGAGGAAGGTTCAAGGAGCATAAGGGAACAAGGTTGAAGAGGCAGAAGCAGAAGGGAACAAGGCTGAAGAAGCAGAAGCAGAAGGAAGCAACTAAGTCACCAGGAGGGCTCTACAGGCAAAGGTACGCACCTATTGGTTGTTGTGTGTTTGTTGGTAGTTAGTATAGTTGTGTAACAGCTGTATAGTTGTTTGTAGTTCGTTATATTGGTTAGTAGTTAGAGTTTCTGTTAGGAGGGGATTGTATAAATAGAAGTAGAATTGGGGAAGAGGGGTTAGCGAAATTCTACAGGAAACTTGTAAAGGGAAGAGAGTGGGGACCTCTCTCAAATCAAAGTCATCCAGATTGTGCCTTGTTTTGGTGTTCAATAAAGCTGGCCAGTTCTTCTTGAGGAGGATCCAGCCACTTGAACCTTAACAAATTGGTATCAGAGCAAGTCTGAGCCATGACGAAGAGCAACACGCAACGTTGGGAGCAATTGGAGGATACGGTCCATGACAGATGCGAGAAAATCGAAGAAACAATGGCAGATCTACAGAAGCAGTGTGCGAAAATGGATGAGCTGCAAAAACAATGTTCGAAAATCGATTCGATGGAGCAAATGTTGGAGAAACTGTGTCGAATGGTCGATGGGATCCAGAATCGTCAGGGATCTGGTCCTGAGACGATTCTGCCACCGATAACAAGCCAGGAGAGATCGCAAGGTGTTCGCGACACAAATCCGAGTACCAGTTGCAATCCAGAGCCGCAAATTGTGGAGGATCGAGTACAGGAGGTGGAACAAGAGATTAAGGAGCCGATTCCAAAGACAGAAACGGATAATGAATCGTGTCATCAGGAGCGATTTATTGGGAGCAGTAGCTCGCATTTCAAAAGAATTGAAATGCCAGTATTCGAAGGAGTGAATGTACATGCTTGGATCACAAGAGCTGAGAGGTATTTCGCAATGGGACAATGCACCGAGAAAGAGAAGTTGAGGTTAGCAGCTATGTCGATAGATGGACATGTATTGAGTTGGTATGACTATCAAAATGGGAAGAAGCTATTCAAAGATTGGGAGGATGTCAGGGAAAGGATGAGAAGAAGATTTGGAGGAAGAAGAATTGGATCACCATATGACAGACTACTATCCTTGCGCCAAACAGGTACGGTAGAAGAATACCTTTGTGAATTTGAAGAACTATTAGCTCAGGTTCCTCATACTCCAGAAGAAATGATAGAAAGTACTTTTAAAAAATGACTGAAATCAGAAATTATAGAGGTTTTGCGGATATTTCGACCTAAAGGAATGGATGAGATTGTAGATGTGGCTTTAAGCATTGAAGGAAGTAAACTGAGTATGGCGTGTATGAAAAGAGGGGAAGGCAGAAATGTGAGGTCAGGAAATGCAGGATCTGTATTCAGGACAGTATCATTAGCTACTGAGAATTACAACAAGTATCACAGTGCAGTTGACAAAAGCAATTGGCAAGAGAAAGGGAAACAGATCATGAAAGGAAAATCAACAAATGCAGAAGGAGTAGGGCATGAAAGGAGATCAACATTCAAAAAAATGTCAGATGCTGAGTTTGAAGAAAAGAGAAGGAAGGGATTATGTTTCAGGTGTGATGAGAAATACTTTGTGGGACACAGATGCAAACAAAAGGAATTACAAGTGATATTGACTGAAGAGGAAACAGAACAGATGAGAGAAGAGGAAGAGGATGACAGGATGACAGAAGAGAATGCACCTCAGGAAGGAGAGTTTGCTGAGTTATCTCTTAACTCGATAGTGGGTTTAACTTCTCCAAGGACATTGAAGGTAAGAGGATCAGTGGGAAAACAGGAAGTAGTGGTGATGGTAGATAGTGGAGCAACACACAATTTTATATCCCTGGACTTAATAAAGAAGATGGGATTAAAACCAGAGGGCAATACAAACTTTGGAGTATCACTGGGTACATGAATGAGGGTGAAAGGAAAGGGAGTATGCAAAGCAGTGCATTTAAGACTACAACAAGTGGAGGTTATTGAAGATTTCTTGCCCTTGGAATTAGGCAGCGCAGATATAATACTGGGTGTGCAGTGGTTACAGAAGCTAGGGAAAATACAGATGGATTTCCAAGATTTGGAAATGAAATTTAATCAGGGAACATCATTGGTTACAGTCACAGGAGATCTTACATTACATAACTCACTAGTGACGTTTAGATCACTGATTAAATCAGTTGAAGAAGGTGATCAGAGTTACATATTGGAATTTGGAGCACTAAAGTGTGGGCAAGAGTTGGAAGCAGAACTTCCAGGATTATTACAGAAGGTCCTGAAGAGTTTTGAGTCAGTTTTCGAGATGCCTACAGAACTACCACCACTGAGAGGAAGAGAACATGCTATCAACTTACAAGAAGGTACAGGAACTGTAAGTGTCAGACCCTACAGGTATCCACATGCTCATAAAGAAGAAATTGAGAAATTAGTGAAGGACATGCTAAAGGCTGGCATAGTAAGACCAAGCCAAAGCCCTTTCTCAAGTCCGGTATTACTAGTAAAGAAAAAAGACGGGAGCTGGAGGTTTTGTATATATTACAGGGCGTTAAACAAGGTGACAGTCCCAGACAAATTTCCCATTCCCATGATAGATCAGCTATTGGATAAACTACATGGAGCTGTTATATTTTCAAAGTTAGATTTGAGATCAGGTTACCACCAAATAAGGATGAAAGCAGAAGACATTTACAAGACAGCTTTTAGAACACAGGATGGCATTACGAATTCTTAGTAATGCCATTTGGCCTTACCAACGCTCCAACAACATTTCAGGCCCTAATGAACAAGATCTTCAGACCTTTTTTGAGAAGGTTTGTGCTGGTATTCTTTGACGACATATTAATATACAGTGGGTCGTTAAAGGAGCATGCAACTCATTTGGAGAAGGTGTTAGCTGTGTTACAACAACACATGATGTTTGCTAACAAAAAGAAATGTGCCTTTGGGAAGGATCAGATTGACTATTTGGGACACATTATATCACAGGAAGGAGTGGCTACAGATCCTACAAAGACGGCAGCAATGCAGAGTTGGCCAGCCCCGAATAACGTGAAAGAATTGAGAGGATTCTTAGGGCTGACTGGGTACTACAGAAGATTTGTGAAGAATTATGGTACTATAGCACGTCCCTTGACAGACTTGCTAAAGAAAGACGAGTTTAATTGGTCTGAGGATGCTTCGAGTGCATTTGGAAAACTCAAAAAGGCAATGATTTCTGCTCCAGTTCTGGGATTACCAGATTTCAAAGATGTTTTTGTGGTAGAAACTGATGCTTCTGGGTTTGGCATAGGAGCTTATACAATCCCCTCCCTAACAGAATCCTCTAACTACTACCAACCCTAAGGAAACAACTAACAAAACAGCCAAACAAATGTCAACACCTATATGCTATCTACACACACAAACAACCACCACACTAGCTGCATACCTTTGCCCCTAATCCTTCTGTAGTACTTATCAATACTCCCCCCTTCAGCATGGAACAACGCGAGGTGAGCATGGAATACCAACGTTGGCTTATTAAACTCCTAGGGTATGATTTTCAGATTGTGTACAGGCCAGGGGTGGAGAATAAAGCAGCTGATGGCCTTTCCAGAATACCGCAGAATGCAAGTCTGGAAGCAACAACAATGGTTTTAGCTATGACATGCCGAAAAGTATTCAATTGGAGGAGTTAGATAAGGAGATTATGCAGGACACAGAATTGAATTTGAAAGAGATAATGGATCAACTAAATGGGGGACAAGAGAAGGTGGGCAAATATCACTTAATACAAGGCAGATTGAGGTATAAGGACAGAGTTGTGGTTTCTCAGCATTCAAGCTTCATTGCTACAATTTTGACTGAATTCCATGACAGTGTAGTAGGAGGCCATTCAGGGGTGTTGAAGACAGTGAAAAGAATACAGGAAGTGTTTCACTGGATTGGAATGAAGGCTGACATCAGGAAATATGTTTCAGAATGTGTAGTTTGTCAGAGTCAGAAGTATTCGACTCTAGCACCTGCAGGATTGTTACAGCCCTTACCTATTCCAAATAGAATCTGGGAAGATGTGTCAATGGATTTCATTGAAGGACTTCCAAAATCTGTAGGCTTTAATGTCGTGTTGGTTGTGGTTGATAGACTGAGTAAATATGCGCATTTTATAGCTCTAAAGCATCCTTTTTCAGCTATGGTGGTGGCGAAAGCATTTGTGCAGGAAGTAGTGAGACTGCATCGTTTTCCAAAGACCATCATATCAGATAGAGACAAGATTTTTCTGAGTCATTTTTGGTCAGAAATTTTCAGAATGGCAGGAACAAAGTTAAAGTACAGTACTGCGTATCACCCGCAAACTGATGGACAGACAGAGGTGTTAAACAGGTGTTTAGAGACATATTTGAGGTGTTATGCAAGTGCACATCCAAGGAAATGGGTACAGTTTTTGAGTTGGGCTGAGTTTTGGTATAATACGGCATTCCATACAGCATTGCAAGCTACTCCGTTTCAAGTTGTATATGGCAGAGAAGCACCAACATTATTGAAGTATGAAGAAGGTTCAACTACAAATTTTGAGTTGGAAAAGGCTTTGGGAAAGAGACAATATAGACAATATGTTAGAAGAGATTAAGCAGAGGATACAGTCAGCACAACAGTAGATGAAGACCAGGGCTGATAAAGAGAGGAGAGATGTCATAATGGAGGTAGGAGAGTGGGTATATTTGAAGATTCGACCCTATAGACAGAAGTCACTGGCAGCAAGAAGTAATCAGAAGCTAGCAGCCAGATTTTACGGGCCTTTTCAAGTAGAGGCAAGGGTAGGAAAGGTAGCCTATAGACTGAAGTTACCAAAATACTGTCATATTCATCCAGTCTTTCATGTATCACAGCTAAAGAAGGCAGCGGGAAGCAATCTACAACCAAATCAGATTCCGATCCAGTTGACCGAAGAGTTAGAGTTGGTAGTACAGCCGAAAGAGATCAAGGACTTCAGATATTCTAAAGAAGGACTACTAGAAGTTTTGGTGGAATGGCAGGATGTACCTGAACATGAAACGACATGGGAGATAGCTGAGGATTTGAACAAGCAGTTTCCAACATTCCAGCTTGAGGACAAGCTGAAACAAAAAGGGGAAGGTATTGATAGATACTACATGGTGTATGTTAGAGGCAGGAGAGAGCAGAGGAAGGTTCAAGGAGCAGAAGGGAACAAGGTTGAAGAGGCAGAAGCAGAAGGGAAAAGGCTGAAGAAGCAGAAGCAGAAGGAAGCAACTAAGTCACCAGGAGAGCTCTACAGGCAAAGGTACGCACCTATTGGTTGTTGTGTGTTTGTTGGTAGTTAGTATAGTTGTGTGACAGCTGTATAGTTGTTTGTAGTTCGTTATATTGGTTAGTAGTTAGAGTTTCTGTTAGGAGGGGATTAAATAGAAGTAGAATTGGGGAAGAGGGGTTAGCGAAATTCTGCAGGAAACTTGTAAAGGGAAGAGAGTGGGGACCTCTCTCAAATTAAAGTCATCCAGATTGTACCTTGTTTTGGTGTTCAATAAAGCTGGCCAGTTCTTCTTGAGGAGGATCCAGCCACTTGAACCTTAACAGTATGCTTCCACGATGAATGGATATTGTGATCATTCATCGATTATCGTGAGAAGCAAATTATTCATGCATTTTATGGTTTACAAACAAAACACGAAGTGCATCTAAAATAGATTACAGCCTGAAGACACAACCGGATCAAGACCACTCTTCTTTTAAATATAAACTAACCTTTACCAAAAGAAAAAAACAGAAGAATTGGGAGATGGGGCTGTGCAAAAATACCCAATTTTTGGTCGGAACCCATCTAAGATACGTTTGAAGTTAGATTACGAACACTAAAACACGAACAAATCTGATTCAAGGATACCATTGTTGAATGTTGATGGTTGCTTCAAGTACTCGTTGAGAGAGCCAACCCGTAATTATTTTAATTATTTTAATATACATAGTTACATAAAACTTGTACACAATAAGAGCATCTTGATACAACAAATACAAATATAATTTCATATGCATGCAAATGACAAAGCAATGCTCAAGTGCAGGGAATTTCTGGCATTTCAGGAAAATGCTCAAGCGCAGGGAACTTGCAGACAAGCTGATCTGGATTGAAGTAGGAAATGGTAGAGGTACTTGGTTCTGGCACGATGTCTGGACTCCGTTTGGCAAACTTCTCGATTATCTCGGTCCCTCTCGGCCTCGAGCTCTTGGCATCTCGAAGCGGACTCGGGTGAGCGACATTTACAATGCAGGAACCTGGTTGCTACCCTCAGTTCATTTTGACCCGGCTCTAAGCCTCTCCGTTTACCTAGCTGGCAAAACACTATCGCACCTCCCACACAAACACTTCTGGAAGGTAGAAAACCATACTACCCAGCTATTTGTTTCACGACAGATCTGGCATCAGCTCTTTAGAGACGGCTCGATAGTCCAATGAGATCACAGATGAACTTGCCTGAAATGGGAGATTTCTCATAGACTTTCAAGAACCGAAGCTTTGATCTGACACCCAGGACCCGACTGCTTGTACCGCTGTTGTTGCGGTTGCGGCTGCGGGTGACGGCGTTTTCAGAACGTTTGATAACGATTATGAACAACCAGTATTGACTGATTGATAAGTTGTTGTTGGTAACGATTACAGATAGATACGGTTAGAACTGAATGGTTGATTACGATTGTGGTTGTATTTTCATATAAATTATCAAAAAGTATATTATTTTAAAATAAATTTTTATGATAGTCATAATTAAATTTTTAGTATCATTTTGATAAAAAATATTTATTAAATTAATAATAATATAATAAATTTAAAATAGAAATATTATCAATTTAATTTATTTTTAAGTAAAAAAATAATTTTATTATAAAAATTATTAAAAAATAATTATTAAACCTAAAAATGACATAATCACATGATTTTTGTACAGGAGATGGAGAGAAGAACAATAAGTAGCACTCCGGACAGGTCTTGCAACTAAGGCGAACTCCATACTTTTTCAAGTTTGGCCATCTTATGAACAGACGGTCCAGATCGTTTTGATCTGTTGGATAAAAATGAGCCACGTGTATACCGGAAGATGTTTGTAATAATGTTTGAATGATTAGTGTGTTGATAATATGAATAAGAATCAAAATTGAAACCGTTACTGCGTTATTATTATCTATGTCAAAATTTGTACTCGTCATTTCTCAGCAACTAAAACAATAGAGAAAAAACCCTAAAAATTCCTGAACTTGTATTTTGGAGTAATATTAATTCCTAAACTTGTAGAGATGCCTATTAATTCCCAAACTTGCAAAATTGAACACGTTAAATCCTGAACTTGTTAAACGGTTCCATATTCGTCCATAGCGTTATTTGGTCAAAAAAACGAGTTGACCGATCCGACGTGGCGCGTGACGTGGCGCGTGACGTGGCGAGCCACGTCGGATCGGTCAACTCGTTTTTTTGACCAAATAACGCTATGGACGAATATGGAACCGTTTAACAAGTT